AGTCTGCGTTTAATATGGCTTTTGTGTTGTTAACATGTTTAATGTTTTGTATTTTCTTCTATTTGATCTCAAAAAGCTCCTAAAACAGTCAGTGATCACTGTTGACTTCCCTCAGCATTTATTACCACTAATCATTTATTTAAGCTCAGTTTTTAAAACCTTAGGATGTAACTACAGCCCAGCCCATGCAGCAGTATATGAATGACTAACCTCATATTGTGGATGGATTATCTCAGTTGTTCTCCTGGCTGAAGTTTGGTCCTTTTACAGCATCCTGCCATGCGATTACATTTGTTCCTGACCACCGAGAACACTCACGTTAACTTTTATCCAGTGGGAAAAAAGTTAGCTTGTTTATATTATGCTAACATAGCTGTGTCGCTAGCGGTCACGTAGCACATCATTATATAGCAGCTAGCCCAACTTCAGTAATCCTACAAACGTCACTGCTGTTTAGTTTTCTGTCTTCATTTATGTTGGAAGTGATAACAGAGCTGTACGTTTTAATTTGTTTCCAAAACCCCGCAGTCAGGACATGCTGTCATGGGATGACAACCGTGAAATAACTAAACTGAAAACACCAATAAACTAAACAGGCAGACTGGCAAACTGAACAAACAGGCTGTATCCCAAATCAGGGTCTGCAACCTCAAAGGCCGCATTTTAAGGCCGATTACGTCACAGCGACGTGACACAGGCTGTCCTAATTCAAAGGCTGCTCAAAAGCATCCTTCATTTCCCTGAATTTGAAGGATGGGTCTGTGTATGGCCCAACATATCCCAGACTTCATAGCGCGGTGGTGGATGTGGATAATTTGTTCGGGAAAAAAGCGGGGCGCCCGAAGAGTAAACTTTCAAAAGTAAGTACTGAATATTGTGTCATTTATTTATTTGCAAATGTTTAATAATGAAGAACATTAAAACATTACTGTTGGCCACATGTCGGCAAAGTTATGTGACATTAGTGATGTTTGTACTAACTTGGTTTTAAATCCTTTACATTAAAATATACGCCATTCAATATGTCTGTGAAGGTTCTCAGTCATCCAGGTCATCGTAGTCAAAGGAGCTTGCAAAGAAAAGCGTCTGGACTTCTTTAAGTTGCTTGAAGACGTTTCACCTCTCATCCGAGAAGCTTCTTCAGTTCTAGGGTTAAATGTCTGGGCATTCCTCGCTACACTGTACAGCATACACCACGTTGTTAAGTTTGTGTTTTGGAGTTTTGTCTTTCAGGTGAACCAGTTTTTGTCTGAGTGTGTTGCTGGGAAAGGAAGAGAAAGACAACGGAGGAAATTTCACACCTTGCTTTCAAAAACACTCACTCCTCATTCTGAACCTACACAACTCAGAGAAGAAAACACACCTGAGGACAGTCAGGAGAAATGGGTAAAGAACTTTTCAGACTGGAATCTCACTGAACCTGAAAAGAGTATTAGCCAAAGGACTCATTTCCCCGCAACAGTTGCCCATAGTGGACCTCATCACAGCCACAGAAACCGCCATACGGATTAATAAATTATCACAGACAGAAGCAGAGCAAATCAGGATGAAAGTCTCAGCCACGCTCTCCAGTGCCAAAGTCCCTCCATCCAACCTCACAATACAAGAAAAGAAGGCTGTTGCTTCCCTGAGCAAAGACCACAACTTCACTATATTGCCAGCTGATAAGGGAAGATGCACCGTGGTCCTAAATACTACAGATTACCACACAAAGATCGCTACTCTCCTCAGTGACAACAATACCTACGAAGCCTTAAAAGAAAGCTACAAAAAGAAAGTTATAGCTTGTCTTCAAGACTTTGAAAAGGACAAAATCACCGCCTTTATCCAGGGGATACCATACCCTGCATTTACGGACTTCCTAAAATTGACAAGGAAGGGGTCCAACTCAGGCCCATAGTCAGTAGCATAAACTCAGCCACTTACAACATCTCGAAACACCTTGCTACGGGAACACCCCACACCACATCAAGAACTCCACCGACTTCACCGACAAGGTCCAGAAACTTCCCCTGGATCCAGATGAAACCATGGTGTCCTTTGATGTAGTCTCTCTCTTCACTTGCACACCCACCACGGAGGCCGTGGAGACGGTCAGAAAACGACTACAAGAAGACAGCTCCTTGGAGGACAGGACCAACTTCACACCCGATCAGATCTGCACACTGTTAGACCTCTGCCTCACCACTACATATTTCAAGTACAACGAAGGCTTTTACAGACAAAAACATGGCTGTGCCATGGGCTCCCCCGTGTCACCTATTGTAGCAACCTTTACATGGAGGAAGTGGAAAGGAAGGCTCTTGGCTCTTTCAAAGGAAGAGTACCCAGCCACTGGTACAGATATGTGGACGACACCTGGGTCAAAATCAAGACACAAGAAGTGGAATCCTTCACTGCGCACATTAACGCTGTGGATAAAAACATCAAGTTCACCAGGGAAGACACAAAGGACGACTGTTTGCCTTTCCTGGACTGCGCCGTGCACATTGAAGAGAACGGCAACCTCAACATCAAAGTTTACCGGAAGCCCACACACACGGACCAGTACCTCCTCTTTGACTCCCATCACCCTCTGGAACACAAACTTGGAGTAATCAGGACCCTACACCACCGGGCAGAACATGTTCCCTCTAAGCCTGAAGGGAAAAAGAAGGAACACACACATGTAGGGAAGCACTTAAAACATGCGGCTATCCTAAATGGGCGTTCTTAAAGTCAGCAAAGAGGCACAGAAAAGAAGACCAGACACCAGCGAGGAAGGATAAGAAGGACAGACGCAACAACATTGTCATCCCCTATGTAGCCGGTGTATCAGAGAAACTCAGGAGAGTTTTCTCCAAGCACGACATCCTGGTGCATTTCAGACCCAGCAACACACTCAGACAGAAACTGGTTCACCCGAAAGACAAAACTCCAAAACACAGACTTAACAATGTGGTGTATGCTGTACAGTGCAGCGAGGAATGCCCAGACCTCTACATTGGAGAGACCAAACAGCCACTTCACAAGTGCATGGCACAACATAGAAGAGCCACCTCCACAGGACAAGACTCAGCAGTCCATCTGCATCTAAAGGTCAAAGGTCACTCTTTGAGGATGCCAATGTTCACATTTTGGACAGAGAGGACAGATGGTTTGAAAGAGGAGTGAAAGAAGCATCTATGTCCACTGTGAGCGACCATCTTTGAACAGAGGCGGGGTTTACGACACCAACTCTCTGCCATCTATAATCCAGTTTTGAGATCCTTCCCAGACGCCTTAACGCCCACTCACATCCTGGGCCATCTGACCTCAGGAATTCACATGACAAGGTGGGGCCAGGTTTCACAATGAGCTCACCTGAAACCCTGGCTGATTGTGACCCACACCCAGTTTCACACCTTGGCTCAGGCAATTAGAGGATCATCAGGGGGTCCTTTGTCCCTCTGTGGGGGGAAACTCCCACTGGGTTTAAATCTGGGACTCTCCACCATTTGACCTTAGAACTGAAGAAGCTTCTCGGATGAGAGGTGAAACGTCTTCAAGCAACTTAAAGAAGTCCAGACGCTTTTCTTTGCAAGCTCCTTTGACAGTGGTGAAACTCGTTTCATATGGTGTAACAGCACCGAAGACACATTTCCTGTCTTCACTGTTTCCATGTGAGACAAAGACATGAGACAGAAAAATGTCACTTTATCCTCTGATAACTTACGATCTTTATAAAACTCACCTCCTGTGTTGGCCCTTTCTTCTCTTTCTCAGCTGGACTCGAACCCTGACGGCAGAGAAAAAAAAGACATCGACCCACACACAGCCGTGTTTGTCTGATCGCTTATTGCATGGACGCAGTCATATATGGCTGCATGTGCTTAATTTTTAATTAATCCAGCCTCAGATAATACATGAATGTGTCACAGAGGATCAAGTCCTATAGACTGCTAAACATTTAAACAACTTCCTGTTCACACTTCCTCCTGGTCAGCCACTTTCTTTGTAATGGTTCAAATTAAACCTGACGTACTGCATTATGTTGTTAGGATGCTGCTGACATCACAGCATGCAGTTTGCACAAATGTAACGTCCACATACATGATCAAATGTCAGCCAGTCAGGAGTGCAAACGCTGCAGATATTTTAGAGGCTATTGATGAAGCAGCGAACACCACGGGTATCAGAGAAGAGAGAAAACAGGAACAGCTGGGAGACTGAAACAGGATACCCCACATCATAACAACCCACTGTGTGGCACACATATTAGAGCTGGCCGAATCTTTTTGCCCTGACACGATGATTCATTTCTGGATGTTTTCTGGAAAAGGTTCAAGACACCTGGATCATAAAATCCCGACAAGAACAAAGAGCAGTGAAATGGAGGCCGCGAAAACGCTGATGAAGGAGATGCTGCGGCCTCAACGTCGAGTGGCATTTTCTCCTCCGTGACGTCAGCGAAATGTCAGATTCTCATGTTCTACACAGTTCATAGAAATTTCTGTTCAATTACAACCAAATATTTGAGTTGATGATGATTATAATTTTATACAGTTGTTGTCATTTCATGCAGATTGCAGGGTTAATTGATTAGTGTAAATTGCCCATAGGTGAGAATGGTTGTCTGTCTCTACATGTTAGCCCTGACAGACTGGTGACCTGACCAGGGTGGACCCCGCCTCTCGCCCTATAACAGCTGGATAGGCTCCAGCGCCCCCCGCGACCCTGAAAAGGACAAGTGGAAGCAAACGGATGGATGTTGTAATTTCTGTTTTAACAATTTTTTGATTGATGTTTTGTTTGCTTTACAATATTATACAATAAAAATAATCTCTACCAAAAACTGAAGCATGCCCACCCGAAGGGCAACCAGGGAATTTTGCGAGCCCTGCTTCCAGCAGGAATGTTTGGCTCCTTAATGTGAAGAACACAGGAAACATCGAGACGTAAAACGAGACGACCTGGGCTCAAGAACAAGAACAGCTCGCCACCGCTATGAGGCGCTCAGAGAGCGAGCGGCGTGGAAGAACTCTCGTGTGTCAGAGGATTTATTCATCAGGATTTTTACAGGACATTTACAATCATCAGGTTACACAATCTGTCCGTGCTCGCAGCGAGGTTAGTGCAGTATGTAACACACCTGTGAATCAAACACACAAACCCACACAGGTGTGCTCTGACACAGTTTAATGTGAAGGTCCACTTCCTGTTTGTGGAAAAACATCACTGATGGCGGTTCACTTTACGGTCCAAACGGCCTCATTTCCACTCCGCCCCCTCTGATGACGGAACTGAGGCTCGTGCTGACCACCTGTTGAGGCTCGGGCAGGCGCCGCATTCATAACACGTGATGTGCGACACGCTGTCCTGCTGATGATGTCACAGCGACACCCACAGCAAGGACGCGGTTCTGTCTGCAGTGGAAAACGAACAACAGGAAGTCAGCAGTACCTGGAGCGAGCGAAGCGGCGAGGTAGAAATGAGGCATTGCCGAGTGCAGACAGGAACAAACCACACGACAGTTTCTTTAATCTCTGATTAGTCGGTGCACGCACTTCCTGTTTCCTGAGGCGTCCTGTGGAGTGAGGATTAGGAGAGGAAGTGTCAACAGTGAAATGTCTCTGCGTTTCCAACGTGTCACCTGACATCCGACGGCTGTCCTCGCATCAGCAGCTGCGGCGCCGCATGTGGCTCCGCCTCCTCCCGGTCATTAAAATGATGCTGAACATTAAAAGCTGCAGAAACAGAACACGGCAGCTCGTCTCCACAGTCTCAGTGAATCCTCTTCATCTTCACCACGATGAAGATGGCAGAGGGGCCGCCACTGGCTGCCTACAGCCTGACTCCGCCTCCTCGGGCCCGGTCACATGTCTGACCACAAGATGGCGCGACTGCCTTTCTCCACGCTTGCCACGTATGCTCCTGAAGGCGACCAGGACACCGAGTTGATGGCTGAGCTGCAACAGCAGTAGCAAGGAGAGGTCAAAGGTCAACAGTGCGGCATAAGCCGCTGGCGTGTGGATAAACCTGAACGATCTTACCTGTGGTTCCGGTCTAGAGTTCGGTCCACTTTCCCCGTCAGCACATTCCAGATGTACAGAGCGCCGTCAGCTGATCCGCCGGCCACGTAGCTCCCGTCAGGACTGAAAGAACGAGACACACTGAGCGTGCTCAGATCTCTCTCTCACTCACCACACACACACACAAGTAATGAGAGGAACCCACCTGAATGTCACTCTGGTCCAATCAGCGCCACACTTGAAACCCTGCGCACTGAACACAAACACACAGTGAGTCAGCCGAGGTCACCTGACCATCACATCGCAAACAGAATGAGTCAGTCACATGACCACAGCGGAGCACAGGAAGTGGATCTGCCTGTGACGTCAACAGTGACTCAGTGTCACTACGGCAACAAAAGTATCCTGGGTACTTTACTTGTCTGACGTACGACCGTCAGTCAGTTTGACTATTTTTATATGTTACACACACAAAAGAGCCGCTTTGTTGTTTCAGCCGTTTTGTCTCGTGAACTCTTAGCTTGATGTTCTTTTTGTTCGTTAAAGGTCGGCGCCGACCACCTCGTGTGCAGTTGATCGTTAAAAACACTGAGTTCATGTTTTACACTTGATTTATAAACCGTATTTTTAGTTATACTATGATGCAACCAACATTCCTCTTTAAACTGCATGTATTATAGTAGCAACAGCAACCACTCCATGTGCACTATCACTGACCCCCCTGCACCTGCTCCTCAGATGGCATGTATGCGTGTGTGTAACTTGTACATATCTTTCTTGTGTAAATGTAACTTTCTCTGTGTCATTGAGTAGATAATATTTCACACACATGGGGAGATGCCAAACTGCCTTTCACTGTTCTTGTAACAAAGAGCTATTCTTCTTCTTCTTCTTCTTGTTTTTGGAGGTTATTTAAATATAAGGTGATATTTCCTCACAGCCCTACTGACTGCCTGCCAACTCAGGTGAGATGGACTCGCCATGTTTCTGCTTCCCACCTGCACGGCTGCCTTCAAACTTCGACCGCTTTGTGTTACACTGGGCCCGCCTCACCTGAGCGTCTGCTTCACGGCGTTGGTGCGCAGGTCGACGATCTTCACCAGGTCGTCTCTGGAGCAGGTGAGCAGCTCGGTGCGATCGTGGTTCAGATCCAGAGACGTCACTCTGCCGAACAGCTCCAGCTCCCGCACGATGCTCTCCGCCCTGATCTCACACACACACGCAGACCGAGCGTGTCATCACCGTGACACAGAGCAATGGCAGAGATGCTGAGTGATGACAGCGTTCGTGCGCCGCTCACCTGATGTCCCAGAAGCGAACCTTCTTATCAAAATGTCCGCTCATGACGCACTGCTCGGTGCACACGATGTCGTTGCAGCTGGAGCCCGCGAACACCGTCTTCATACCTGCACAGGTGAGCGACAGTTAGCTTGGGTGAGGACTCACTGAGACCGAGCGAGCGTGCACTCACGTACAGACTTTGCTGCGAAGGTCCCACAGTTTGAGCGTGCGGTCGTAGCTCCCAGAGACGATGCGAGCGTTGTCCAACAGGAAGCGAGCGGAGAGGACTTTCCCGCTGTGACCCGTCAGCGTGTGCTGCCGGACGGACAGAAAGACACAGGTAAGCGCAGGTAAACACACACACAGGTCATCGGCAGGTGACGTCTGCCACTTCCTGTCAGTACGAGAAACCCCGGCGACATGCAGCTGACCATGTCACCGTGGGGACGTCACCTGATTCAGACAGGTGACATTAGATGGACAACAGTTTTCTGGCCTCAGAACAGGTGTGAGATCACTGCTCAGACCCCACCCCTCGGCCTGATGCTCCATGCTGATTGGTTTTGTTGGATGACATCATCACAGAGAAGCTGTAGGAGCTCTGTACAGACCTCGCAGTGATGTCACATCCTGTGTGTCAGCAGCTGCCGAGACCATCGCCGCACCACTAGAGCACGATGGCAGCAGAGAGCCGGGCTGCTGGGAGCCAAAATGGTGGCCGCGAGGGGGAAGAGCTGAGCTTCAGACCTTTTACATGACATCACTGACCAGGAAACTGAGCCGCCACTTCCTGCTGGGCTCAGTTGTCGGACAAGAACGCGTGGTTTAGCTCAGCGCACGCAGACAGGGGCAGCTGACCACCAGGGGGCAGCGCTTACTTAGAAATATTTTCCTGATTTTGTGAAAAAAATCTGTTGAATAAACTGCAGAAAAATGTGTTTCAAACACAAACAGGTGCAGAAACATGGCGCCGGCTGCTCTGAGGCAACGTGGAACCTTTCTGCTCCGTGCGGGCTGTTCGTCCTACTGCAGCCGCCGTAGCCAAGGTTACTCGAACAGCTCAGCTGACTAATCTGCTGACACGGTTGGATTTACGGCGAGCGTGTGTGACGCAGCTGTGTGACAGCTGGACGCGCTCACCCTCAGTCTGTAGTCATCCACGGTCCAAATCCGGCTGGCGAAGTCGTTGGAGGCGGCGAGCAGGTAGGAGCCCTGAAACACAGGAAAGCAGGTCAGTCTGAACAGGAAGTAACGCTGCAGTATCCTTCCGCCGCGCGTACACTCACAGCACTGTCGAACTCGATGCTGGTGATTCCCGCGTTGCTGCCGGTCAGAGCTCCTTTGGGCTCACAGTGACCTGAACGCAATCACAGGAAGTGATTTAGTCACGTGACCTGCTGCAGCTCCAGGGTTATTCAATCAAACATCCTTGTGCAAGCAAAACAACTTCCTGTTTAAACCCCGCCTCCACTCACCTGCCACCACCTCCCACAGCTTCACCCTGCGGTCCATCCCTCCAGTTGCTAGGAGACGGGAGCCAGGGCTGAACCTCACAGCATTCACCTCGCCGTCGTGGGCTTCCTGAACGCTCAGAGAGAGAGAGAGCGCAGACTGAGAGACGGCCGTGCAAGTCATCTCGACGATGACGAAGAGTGACGGTACTTACGAAGACGTGCAGCGCCGTGGTTGGCACGCGGACCTCAGCGCAGACGCCTGACGGGGCCTCGCTGCTCTCCGGTGAAGTGCTGAAAGAGTTGGCGCTCCGACGCCTGCTGAGGACGAACAAACTGTCACCTTTCATTTATCGACAAGTGACAACGACGGTCACCTGGAGGCGCCGTGTGCAAGCTAGACGCTCCAATACAGAGGAGCCCCCACACACATGCGGCCACACACACAAACATGAGATAATAATGGACAGTCAGTATGGTCCCAGACCAAACAGATCAACATGGCATTAATGGTTCTTATTGAAAAGATCACTAATAAAACAGATCAAAGACACAGTCGGTGTTTTCATTGACCTAAAAAAAGCTTTTGACACAATCAATCATGAAATATTACTTGATGAACTGGAGTACTACGGCATTAGAGGAGTGGTGCTCGAGTGGGTCAGGAGTTATTTGAGAGACAGGCAACAATTTGTGAAGCTTGGTGAATATCAGAGTGCCTGGACATTGTGGAGTTCCACAGGGGTCAGCATTGGGACCAAAGCTGTTTATCCTGTGCATCAATGATATATGTAAAACATCTGATATATTACAGTTTATTTTATTTGCAGATGATACAACTATTTTTGTGCTGGAGAGAATTCACAGCAGCTTTTGGAAATTGTCACACAAGAAATGATTAAACTGAAAACATGGTTTGACAGAAACAAGTTTTCACCAAATTTGAATAAAACTACATTTATGTTGTTTGGAAATTGATAAATAACGTTGAAGTACGTTTCTCATACAGAATTTCTGGGTGTGATAATAGACAACAAAATGTGCTGGAAACCTCACATAAAGCTACACTGTCCAGAAGCATCTCTGTTCTGAGTAAAGCTAAACATTTTGTGCCTTCCACCCCGGGTACTTTACTGTTCACTTACACTGCCATATTTGGAATACTGTGTGGAAATACACACAAAACTTCACTTCAACCTTTATGTAAAAAGAAAAAAGCAATCAGGATGATTACTGAAGCAGGATTTAGAGAGCACACTAACATCATGTTCTTGAAATTAAAGATTTTGAAGTTAATGGATCTTATAAACATAAAACTGCAAAAATGATGTGCAAAGCCAGATACAATATGTTACCAGGAAATGAACAGAGGATGTTTTTGACAGAGAAGGGGACTATGAATCGAAGGGAAAACTAAACCTGAAGACAAAGGTGTTAAAACCTTTTGTGTTAGCATCTGTGGGGTAAAACTGTGGAACAGTTTTCCTGTGGACCTACAGCAATGTTCAAGCCTTGGTCGGTTTATAAAGATGTTTCGAAAAGTGTTTTTGGAAGAAACTGATGAAGTTGATCAGCCATTGTACTTTAATTAAACTGTAGCTATCACTGTAGCTATGTTAACACACGTCCTTCATTCCTTGTTTAGTGTGTGGGGTAAGTGATGACGGGAATCAGGCTAACAGTGAACAGTGGGGTTCAACACTGGGGTAGGGACTAATAACTATGTTATACTTCTTCCTACTCCATTTCAGACTTAAAAATTGTCATTTCATGTCATTTAGACTGTTTTTTATTTGTTTTATTTATTTGTCTGAGCACATGCGTGTGTGTATTTACAGATATATTCCTATTTATACACGTAAATGCAAGTATGTGCACTTGTATATATTGTTTTTTTTTGTGTATGTCTGAAATAAAGATACAATAACACGCACACACACAGACGCACACACACATACCCAAACATGAGGGAGATTGAGTCAAGCAGCCCCCCAGGAGGCTGCTGGGAGATCTTCTTACTGCGGGCAGAGACACATCGTCACACACATGCTGAACCTCCGTAGAGGTCAATGGTCAGCGGGCACGTGCGGCCTCACCTGGGAGTCCTGCTAAGCGGCCGGCTCGGCGACGTCTCTCCCCCCGCCTTCCCGGCGTCCTCAGTCAGCACCTCAATGTCGTCGTCCCTGCGGAGAAGCAGAGCAACGTGAGCAGGCGTGAGAGGAAATCCTGTCACTGTTGTTCCTTTATTTATTCCCGTCTGCTGTAACCATGGGAATTTCTCTGGGACATCTCATCTGATACAAACTCAGACACGCACGCCTCAATGGGCAGCGGTTCCTTGGCAGCGTCAGCAAGCTCCTTCTGCAGTTTGGCCTGCCGCCGTCTGAAACACACACACAGATGAAAATGACCTGAAGTCGCAGCAGCAGACCTCCTCCCGCCTCCAGCCGCCCTGCCTACCTGCTGTCCTTCTCGTTCTCGGCGTTGAGCCGGTTGGCCTCCTGAGCCTTCTCGGCCATCCAGCGCGACACCAGCTCCTGGTTGTCCTCGGTGGTCTTCCTCAGCTTCTCCTCCAGGGCGGAGAAGGTGATCTGCAGGGCGTCGTACTCGTCCTTCAGCGTCTGGTTCGCCCTCTCCAGGTCCTGTGAAACATGAAGTTACGTTAACCTCACTGCTCTGACGGGTGACGCTCGCACGTTCTGGGCAACGAAGGTCTCAGCTTGAAAACTTGAGATCAGCTCCCTGCTCCTCCTCCTCAGCCCGACGCTCCGTGCTGAGATTCTGTTGGATGACATCATCACAGAGAGGCTGTAGGAGCTCTGTACAGGCCCCGGTGTGATGTCGCATCCTGTGTGTCAGCAGCTGCCGGTACCACCGCTGCATCACTGGAGCACGATGGGAGCAGAAAGCAGGGCTGCTGGGAGCCAAAGGGCAGCAGGAGGGGATTGTGGGTAATCAGACCTTTTACTGCTCATCACTGACCTTCATCATCTTACTCGGTTTACAGATGAAAACAATGACAACAGTTATTGGTCAGTATAATAGAACTGGTCACAGGTGGGAGGGAGTGACTCCACCTGTCCGTCACAGCTACACCACAGGTGAGCCACGTGAGGCGGTCCTACCTGCAAGCAGCTCCTGAGCTCACGGCAGTTGCCCTCCAGGCTGGAGATCTGCTGCTGGTACTCAAGCATCCTGCAGGGGGCAGCACAAAGGCAGGGTCTGCGTTACTGCGTGTGTGTGTGTGTGTGTGTGTGTGTGTGTGTTACTGTGCGTGTGTCTGACTTGGCCTCGTTGTTCTGGATCTCTCGGTCCTTCTGTTGGATCTGGTTGTTCAGTTCGATCACGCTCTGGGCCAGCTGATGACAAAAACAGGAAAATAACCAATCAGCTGTTTACAGGACTGTCACATGACCAAGTCAGAGGAAACAACATACACACAAACACAAAGACCCTTTTGTACCTACTCGGATCGACTCGGCGCAGTTTTCAATTCAATCTTTTTTCTTTCTTTTTTTTTAAATACAGCGTCACAACAACAGTCGCCTCGGGGCGCTTCACATTGTCAGGTAGACCCTACACCATTAAATAATTAATTAAATGTTGCAATCATTAATTAAATAAATATTTATGACATGTTTAATTAATTATTTAATGATGCATTTATTTAATTCATTTTGGCGCTTTTGTCCCCTTCAGCTATCACCATGAATTTATTTTATCTGTCAGCCTCACCATTAAACTAAGGGGGCGGGGTTAACACTGCCACTGCAGCTTCTCTAACATCTAATTGGTTGCCGTGCAAAGTAAGTCAAGACAGGTCGATCCTAGATAATCGATTGGATGTGTGGACTTGGGGCAGCCAGGTATCCCAGAATGCATTTCAAATCACAGGCAGCAATGGTGGTGGTGTATAGTTTTAAAATATCCCGTTTTTCTGTCACCAGCTACACTTTTTTTACAGTGTTTCAGCCGCGAATGTCGTGGTGTAATCTTCACGTCTGGTCAGGTTGTCAACATACAACATGTTTGTGCTCAGATGTTGTCAGCGATGTCACTTGCTCCGCTAACAGTCAGCTGACAGAGTGCACCGAGCTCACAGCCCCGGTGTTTCATCTTAACTGTTTTTCTTTTTTTACGTTAACCGGTTTGTTTACATATTCCACTCTCCGTGTTCCACATGTTGCATTCGCAGATTCTCACGTACGTCTGGTCAGGTTGTCAACATAGAACATGTTTGCAAAAGTGCTCAGATGTTTTCCGAGATTTCACTCGCTCTGCTAACAATTAGCATGCAGAGTGCACCCAGGGGGTTACGTTAACCGGTTTGTTTACATTTTCCACTCTCCGTGTTCCACATGTTGCATTTGCAGATTCTCATTTTCACCGAACAATCGTCTCTTTCCGCCTGGTCTTGTGTCTCTGTGCTTCTGTAACATAAAGAACGAGCTGACATTTTTCTCACGAAACCAGCGATCAGCTCAACAGACCCTCAGTTTACCTGCATGCATCCTCCTCCTCATCTGTCAGCTGTTTAACACCTGCTGCTAATTCAAGAAACACGCCTAGTTACCTGGTGATAGTCACAGTTTAACTGGGCAGCTGGTGCTCGATATAAAGCAATGTCAGCGCATTTTTCTGCACAAGATAAGGAAATATAGTGTTTTCCCCGAGCGCAGAGCTGCTGGAGCTCGTTTCCTTACAGAGCACTTTATAGGCGAACAGCTTTATCAGCGGCTGATGTCCAATCACCGGCACACAGCTTTGAAACCTCAGCTGAGTTTTAGCTCTCAGTGGTTAAACGCTGGACTTCATTCACTCAGGTTCTGTCTGTCGGGTCACGTTTACTTCGCTGTTTTATTTACAACTGAGCAAATCGGTTTGGCTGAGGTTAAAGTTACGTTTCAAAACTGCATAGTTTCACAGACGTTTAATGGTTCACTGGCACATGTGTTAGACTGAACTATCATCTAAATATCATCTGTTTTTTAATAGTTATTCAACTGTATTCTAAGCACCAGCTGTCTGTTAGAATGTGATTTTTTTTCTCTCTCTGTTGGCAGAGGTATAAAAATGCGCAGGAAAATCTGACATGCATGGCGAACTTCACCGACGATATTTAGGGAGGAATAAACACACATCAAACATAAATGAACCATTTGTCTGTCTCCATAATTGAGAGCATTTTCTCTTCTTATGTCAACACTCTCTCTCTTTTTTTTTTTCTTTTTTTTTGCTTTTTCGGTCATGTTATGTTTACCTGTCAAAGGCTTGTTACAAACTATGAAACACATTGTGCAGACTTCTGGATGTTAGAAGAAAACGAATACTGCTCATGAATGAGACTAAAGGCAGGAAGGTGTCCTTTAAAACTAAACATGTTAATAGGACCTCCCTGTTTATATCATAGTTTATGATATAGCACGTGTATTTCAGTAATAGCCTGCTGAGGCCACTATACGTGCTGGCCTCATATCAAATGTGAAGGCAGACTGAGTCTATGTTTGACGTTTTTTATATCTAATCTTCCTCTCAAACATTTAAACAGCAGCGAGTCTGCAGCTGAGGGAATACAAATTCAAATTGTCGGAACAGGTTTGCTCGTTTCTTGGATTCATTTGGTGATTTATTAAATGTATAACTGTTATTCTAATCTGCTGCTGAGTCTCTTACACTTTTCTTTATGCTGTATATTTTCACGTCTCTGGAATAGTTGGAAGTTAGATAGTCAGCTGGGAAACTTTGTGTTAACTCATGGAGCTGAGGATATCGTGGATATGCTGACCTCGCTGCGTGGTGTACAGAGCGAGGTCAGCATGATTAATATTCACAATAAAAATATTAGCCGAACATCATGAAGTCTGTATGTGTTTCATAGTGTCGAACAACCTTTGTACAGTTAAAGCCAGCAGTTACTACATGACGGAAACACCAACGTTATCTCTTTTATGTGTTTATACACAGGTCATGCTGATTACTGAACAAAAACCCAAAGATCAGATGTTAAACAGATTTATTTGCTCTCTCTCCTCCTTAAACATGTTTTTAATGTTAGTTATAATTCAGAATTGGCGACTGAAACACGTAGGACACATAAGAACATCAGGAAATAAAACACCGAAAAATATAACCTCAGTAAAAGAAGTCAGCGGGGGTTATTACAGCTGTGTACCGGGGCCTGCGCTTTGTCGGTGGGATTACTTGCGAGGCGAGCGGGTCTATCCCACGCTTTGCCGTGAGACTGGGCAGACGTCTCCGAAATCATCGAAACACTTTTGCAAAGAGGCTGTATCTTGACAAACCGACCAGACACATGAAGATTAAACCACTACATTCTCGGCTAAAAAAATATTAAAACGGTATTTGGTGACACACAAACAGGGTTTTTCAAAGCTCAGTTCTGTTAGCTTCCACATGCCGGTTGTTGTGTGCTAGAAACAATGGCCACCAGGCCAAAGCAATGGTTTTGACTCGATCAGCGTTAACCCCGCCCCCTGAGTTTGATGGGTGAGGCTGACAGATAAAATTATTTCATGATGAGAGCCAGGCGCCAGGACTGCCAAAATGAAATAAATAAATATATCATTAAATAATTAATTAAATGTGTCAGTAATTAATGAAATGTGTCAATAATTAATTAATTACATGTGTCATAACTATTTATTTAATTAATTAATTCCAATTTTAATTAATTATTGCCACATTTAATTAATTATTTAATGGTGTATTTAATTAATTCATTATGGCAGTCCTGGCGTTCCATAGTTCTCAGCTGCATTTGAATAAAGCACCAAATCCACACTGTTTTACTTTTAAGCTTAAACTTCAAAACTTACATTTAACTACTGATTTTATCCGTTTTGATTTTATATACTGTTTTTGTTTGTTTGTTAATTCACTTGTATTTTTATTTTTTTATTCCTATTTATTCTATTTATCCCCTTTGTATACTTTATTTATATTTGTCTCTGTATTTATATATGTGTGTGTGTGTGTGTGTGTGTGTGTGTGTGTGTGTGTGTGTGTGTGTGTGTGTGTGTGTATATATATATATATATATATATGTATATATAAAACAATTCTGTAACTGTAACTTCGGTCGTTGCTGTGCTTTTTTTGGAAGTCGAATTTCCCAGAGGAACCCACCCGAGGGATTAATAAAGTTCTCTTATCTTATCTTAATTAGTTTGTTTGTTTGCTTGCTTGTTTTAATCAATTTTAAATCATGCTTTTTGTCTGTTTTTGTTTCTAATGTCTCTGTAAAGCACTTTGAATCACCTTGTTGTTGAATTGTGCTATACAAATAAACTTGCCTTGCCTTGCCTTACCCACCAGCTCGATAGCTGAAGGGAGCTCGGGGGTCACTGGAGCCGCCGAGAACCCCACAACTCCCGGCACATCATTTTCAGATCACCGCCGTCTTTCGCTACTCAGGTTAAACGTGATATATAAGTCACTTAGACAACCTAAAAATGTTATTGTTGGGCTTTTTTCACTGTTTGATTTGTTCATGAGTAAATCGGTTAGGTTGAGATCAAAGTTATTAGATTAGATAAAATAAAACTTTATTAATCCATTGGGTGGTTTTCACACAGCTGAATAAATGTCAAACAGAAAACTGATTAAACAGAAGTGTGAGATGGTCGAGAGTTTACGCCAGTGTCCTGTTATATTTAGATAGCAAGGAGCAGACGGCCGAGTTCATTAAACTACACCCACACAGCGGTGACACAGATCTGAAGGCTAGACTGTCCAATTTCACAGCTTCGCACTTCCGGCCTTCTCGGTCTCTGAAGGACCCGGCCCATCTAGACCACGAAGGCTGGGTCCCCCGAAGGATGCAGCCTAGGTTTTGGGACACAGCTCACGTTACCTGGTGATAGTCACAGTTTAACTGGGCAGTCGGTGCTCGATATAACGCAATGTCGGCACATAATTCTGCACAAGATAAGTAAATATAGTGTTTTCCCCGAGCGCCGAGCTGCTGGAGCTCGTTTCCCTACAGAGCACTTTATAGGCGAATGTCACCAGCACACAGCTTTGAAACCTCACCTGAGGTTTAACTCTCAGTGTTAAACACTGGACTTAATTCACTCAGGTTCTGTCTGTTGGGTCACGTTTACTTCGCTGTTTTATTTACAGCTGAGAGAATCTGTTTACTAAACTAAAATAAATGAGGTTGATTTGTGTTTTTTTATGTTTCAATCATGTTATGTTTACCGTTATCTGAGATAGCCAAGTTAACTTCAGTTAACCATTCAGACGGTTCTTTTGCAATGACAAACATACAGTGGGGCAAAAAAGTATTTAGTCAGCCACCGATTGTGCAAGTTCCCCCACCTAAAATGATGACAGAGGT